CCTATTGATTGGCAATTTTTAAACTGTTTATTGTGCTCTTTTGTTTAGCTGTTCAAGAGCTAAAACAAAAGCCACCAGGCCCTGTGAGGGACACATTTGCATGCGGCGAGCGTTGCCCGAGGAAAAAGTAATTGCTAATGCATATTTATGTGGCACAAATTTGCCATTTGTTTATGCATAAAATTATCAATAGTGCAGGGCGGCCCAGCCGTAGAAAATGGTGACCTTTTTAGCTTAATAAAGAGAAATCAGCTGTTATTGTGAAGAGATCAGCCATTTATTCTGTGTTGAGGGACACTGTCGGGAAAATGTAGATTGGTGCCGGCAATATCATTAAATGGAAGGCCAGTGACCCTTTCGGTATAGTCTATTATACTTTATCTAATAGGGGATAAATGACTCTGGTTGGCAAATAGATTAAAAAAAAAAAAGAGAGAGAAAGAAAAAAATACTCAACAAACCCCACTGCCCCTCCTGACTTTCCTCTTACGACTCAGCCATGTGAACAGGTAGATGCTGAGGAAGTAATCATGCACAAGCCAGCTGGTATTTCTCTAGCAGGAAAATGACTTTAAAAACAACTAAACAACAAAAAAACTCTGAAACAACCCCAAACCAACCCCCAAACCCACTCTGTTTAGACTAGTTTTGATTGCTTTGGAGTCGGAAAAACATGCAGAGCCAACCTGTGATTCTTCCTAGTGCATGCTGTCAAAAGCAGTGTTCTGAAGGGCCATGACATGGATTGGATTTTGGCTTGTGAAATGAAAACTCATAGTTTAAAAGAAGGAGGTAGAGTCTTTTCTGAAGATAAAAAGATTTTGAAAAGTTATGCTTTTTTCTTACATATTTCTTACATTCAATTTTTTAAGAGTGGATGAGAATTTGCTAGGTTATACCCCAAGACACTGAAGACCTCATCTGCAGAAGATGCAGCAACAGTTTTCTTCATACTACTCCACTAATTCACCTCAACCTTAATGAGCAGATTGAAGACTTGAGTTCAAAACTAGCAGCCTCAAGAAACTGTTGTGAAAATGAAAGTGTATGCACAAGAACTCATGTTTCCCTGTTTCTCTCATTGCGCTCCCCAGAGTGCACTGCACTGTGCATAACTGGAAATAGCTTCAACCACTCCACAGGTGAAATGTGTAGAGCTGTGAGTCACAGTCACTGTAAATGGTTGCATTTTCTGTGCCCACTGTGTGGTGAACTGGGCATTTGATTATTTTTTTTTAAACCCTAGGGACTATCCAGCAGATGATTGTGATGACAGTAGTTTACTTAGCAAAGGCTGTTAGATTGAGGTAGTTTTATGTACACACCCAGCCTGTCTAGGTGAGGTGAGATCCCACCCACCACCACTGTGGGACCGCCCATCCTCAGAAGATGAAGGTTGACCTCTGCCCGCCCTTCTGCCTTGTGCCTTCAGAAAGTCCTGATGGAATTTTTGTGGTGGAGAAGGGCTGATCAGAGCAATTTTGGGGCTCTGCTGTGTTTGTTTCCTAAAAATCTATCACAAGCTCTTTGTCACTGAGTGACATTTTCCTGGTGGACTCAATAAAGGGGCAAAGGGTAGAACAGGCTGATGGAACTTGCAGATTGCATCAGTGGAAGCTTTTTGAGGGAGGACTGTCTGAATGTGATGGTGTAGAGTTTGTGGTCGGAGGCAGGAGTTCAGTCTTCTCAAGGCTATTGATCTGATTTCACCACCATTAAAATTTGGGCAACATTTTAAAAAAATCATTTTAGTGAAATATGTTACAATACATAAAACTTACCATGGGAGATATTATACAGTATATGATGTATTACTTTCTATAGTAATGTTGTGAAAGTCTTTGTAAGGATGTGTGCTACAGTTCAATATTTCATACCAAAAATTTACTCTTATTAGGTGTTTTTGGAAAGGGTTGGTTCAGTTTCCTAATTGTGCTTTTCCATGCATTTAATTTCTATGCATAGAGCTCTTGCCTGCTTCTGGAATGGTGCCCTTGCAGTCCTCCCAAATAATGATCCCCTACCATGTTGCTGTAGAAACAAAAACATTGTAGATCATGTTATGGAAATAGAGAGAAAGTCAAAGAAATAGCTTAAAAGTGTATGTTTTCTTAGGTACATCCTATGGAAACTACAGTTAATATGGAAGTGAGCTTAACTGCAGAGTGGGATCTAGATTTCTTCACATGGCAACAGGCCCCTTTTTTTACTGGTTCTGTCACTCCACTCAAAACCGTAGCCAAGAACCACAGTTTCAGAAGCCTCTATTAATGTTTGAGGATTGCCTCATTGACTTGGTAATGAACAGTTGAATTAGGTGGTATTTTACCTTTAGAAATGCATTTTTATTTTTACTTCAGCAAAATAATTAAGCTTTGCGTAGATCTGCTTTTTTCAAAGACTCTTTCTTTTTCCATACAGATATCTCCAGCTCTGCTCCTGAAAAAAAAAATCTTCTTCTACATGTCAAAGCTTGTAACCCGTTTTTAGCCTCAGTTTTGCTTTTCCACCAGTCATAAGGCAACCCTCTTGAAGTGTGCTTGACACTATCTAGCTAGATTTATGTAGATAAAATTAACGAGTAGAAAATGCTTAAGTCTGTTGTATGGGAATAAACTGAGGGTCAGTATCGTAAACTAACCTGAATCCAACTGAGATTCTAACTCAGGCTATTATTAATATTATTACAACTTTTGTTATTCCTACATATTTTTGTCCTATCTGTGCCTGCCTAGGCCTGGCAGTGAAAAGTAATTAAGTACAGACAAATAAAAAGCAAAGCTTCAAAACCATAGAAATATCAAGTTTAATGGAAAAAAAGTTTTGTTAAGGGATAAGATAGGTCAGAGAAAAGACAAGCAAATATTGCTGATGAAAGTTAGTAGCAGAAAACACAAGAATGAGCAAAATAAATATTACCTTTTCGTTGTATTCTGCCGTTATGAAGAAGTCAGGGAGTAGCCCTGTGCCTTGGTTCCAGGTTGCTGGGAAAGATAATGGGGAATATTTTGTAAACAAATGTTACAGGTCTGATTGTCCTGTGAGCTGCCTTCATTGTCCTGGGATCTTACCCCAAGTAGGAGTGACTTGAGTGGGGCTTTGCTTTTCTCAGCTCCTGGTGCATGTCTACTGTATTAATACTGTGTAGGAAGGAAGATAAAGGACAAGCTTTATATTATGCTGTTCAGTTGATGAATGTTTAATGTGATAACGAAATAATAAGAGTTAAGCAATTGATATTTTTTTTGGTTCTTCGTGATGCTGGTAACTGGGTAGTCTGATAGGTCAAGATCTGCAGGACCTATCTTTGTAAAGGGAAATTTTGATTATCCTCATTGAAGACTGACTTTTTTCCCTCCCTTCTTCAACACAGTTTTATTTGAAAAACCCACTGAAATATTCATTTTTAGAGGAGCAGAAATTCACGATTGAGGAAATTTCTATACAAAATGTAGAGAACACATTTCTGTTTGTCTGATTACTTAATATAGGAAATTGAGGTGTAGCTTCAGAAAGTTTGGCTGCATGCAGAGCTCAGTATGAACCAGGGACACAAGTTGTCCTTTGAAACCTCATGCACCACCCTGCTATTGGTAGTGTCTTATGTGCTGCTGCTTTTCATGGAGGTCTCTGAGCTGCAGGGCTGGCAAAAATAATTCCATCAAGTTAAACCAGTAGGAAAAAGTGTCTGGTTTTATATATTGAGGTTGCTGATTTCAGAATTGGGTTGTGTGTGTCTGTGAGTTTTGTAGTTTAAAAATAAAAGCAATTCCTATTTATTTTATTCATACATGTGTTTCATACTACAAATTGTTTTGGTTAGACTAGATTAATATTAATAGTCTGCAGCACAGCTTAGGGATGCAAAACCTGACTGAAAGGAGGGCCACATGTGAGATGAACTTTACCTTGTGTGAACTTGATGTGTCATGTCACAAGTATGGTCTCAGACTTGCATCTGCAGCCATGATCGTGTGATCCAGCAAAATAAGAGTAGTACTACAGATTTTTTTTTGTTTTCAAATCACTGCTTTGCTGTGCGCTTTGGGTCACAGAAGACTTACTTTGCTGCTTTTGCAACCAGGTAGACTGAGGCACAAGGCTAGTAACAGGGATCCTGTGGCTTGGCAGGGCCACCTGGGTTGGACAGCCCAGTTGTGCTGTTCCATGCAACAGCAGATGCAGGGGAGTCCCAGCTCCCGCCTCCTGCATCCCCCACACTCGTACACTTCTTGCCACAAAATGCTTGTCCCTTCTCTGCTGAAGGCTTGGGGTAGCACAGCAGTAGCCACAACTGCGACAGGTGCCTCGAGAGATCTGGGGTGCAATCACTCTCCTGAACTGGGGAGGACCAGAGGGGGTTTGGGAGGTCATGCTGAGTGATGTGAGACATTTTAATTCTGGGCTCTGTCATACCTGGAGGAGGTGCCACTCTGTCACCTGTGCAGGAAGCTGAGGTGCAGCTCAAGACCCTAGAGTCAGTATCTTACTCACAGAGTAAGTGTGTGAGTAACCCTCCTACTCACAAGGTGTCAGCTGGGAGCAGAGGCAAATGCAGAGGGACCTCTCGGTCCCAGCACTGTACTCGCACCACTAACCATGCGAGCGTGTTTGGTGTGGGATGTAAAAACAGTGAGTGTAGGTGAGCTCTTTAAACACTCAGGAGCAACAGGAATATGTAGTCACATCTTCCTCCTGGTTCAATTTCTGTATAGATTTATCGTGATAAGAGGTGCCACTTTGGTTCTAATAATGTCTACTTTTTTTTTTTTTTTTTTTTTTTGATATTACATATTTCTATGGCAGCTTTTCCACGTGATATATTTTGGGTCACACATTAATTTACACCAGCCTCTGTTCTGCAAAAAAGAGTTCACAAACTAAATGAAAAGGAACGGGGAGGGGGATGTCTGGCAGAGCCCAGGCTTTTGTTTCATGTTTTGGATTATTTTCTTTTAAAAATAAAATTGTTGATATGCATTTTGCTTTTATTTTTCTAGCCTTCCTCTTGCTGATGACCGGGTTCCTGTTTGATCCTGTTTACAAGCTTTCGAAGATTGAAAATAACCCCAACTCCTCTGCATTGGGTAGGAAAACAAAGCCATATAAAGACATACTGCAATTACTCTGGAGGGCGGCAATAGGGAAGAGTGTGGTATGAAGGAAGAGCTTATGGAGGAAAGGGAGAAGGTTACTAGGTTACCACAAAAGACATTGGTGTACACAGTTTTTCTCACTCACTCTTTTGGACTGGGAGGAGGGGGAGGAGTGGGTGTACTAACAAGTAAATAAGAGCGTTCTCCAGTGTGTGTATTCCCAGTCTAAATGTTTTGTCTATACTTCCTGTTACTCATTCAAACTGCTTTGCAGTTTGCTTTGCAGACTATTTCAGTCTATTCAAAACACCAAATAAGGTAACTTTAAGAGATTTTTGGGGGGCTGGGTTGTTGTTTTGGTTTGGTTTTCTTTTTCCCTTTAAAAGTTACTGGCAAGATAAAGAATATTCCCTAAATTACTGTGAACTTGTGAATATACATGCAATATTTTAGTAGTGTTGATGTGTAAGTATCTATATCCAAGGTACTAAATTTTTACAAATATTTTAAAATGACATTTCTTGCAGTTAGGGAGCGTAGGTAGGGAATAATCTGGTTAAATATTGTTGACCTGACAGGCAATCGCACAGTTGTGATGTCTTCTTGATCCTGTAGTTTTTATGATTAACCAAACTGCCATGAATAATAAATGTTTGTCACATTAAGGTTTCAAAGACAAGCACCTCCTTGTAGTAGAGTTGATTTTATCTTGTTATTGTGAACTTTAGGAACTGGAGTTGATTATGTCACTATTGAGTGTGATGAGTTTGTCCTAGGGTTAGGTGTCCCCTAACTTGACCTGGTTGCCATCATAGTTGCCATCATGTTTCTTTTGCCTCTTCAAGGAGTGCACCTGTGGTGACAAGCCCAGTTTTCATGGGTGGAAATGAGGAAAAAGTGTGGAAGGCAGTAGAAAGCCAGAGCAGTTGCAGCTAAGTATTTAGGGCCAACTGGAGGTGAAACCCTGAGACAACCTCCTTGATTTCAGTATGACTTTGTCCTCATGCAGAGGGCTATTCCACTGTTCTTTCTTGTGGGGAAAAAAAAAATCTAATTAAATTTGAATGCAGGATTGTGTAATTTATTGATAATATTCTGGTGTAAATTGATGCTTTTCTGCTTCGTAGTGAGGCCTTAGACATGCATACGAGATGACAGTCTAAGTCATGGTATTTTAACATGATTGATTCAGATACGAGTAAGTTTTATGATTCACTTTCCGCTTTCTAAATGCCAGAAGTCAGTTGTGACATTCTCATCTTTTCCTCTTCTAAATAAGCTTATCAAAGAAGAAATCACTAATTTACCAGGCAGGGCTTAATAATCAAGGAAGTGAAACTTCTGTTTTAGAGAAAAAAAAAAAAAAAGAAATCCTTTGCTGACTTTCTGGATGATTTTTAAATAATAAAAGCTTACCATGTACTGAGCAACTGCTTTATTTTTTGAAATATTATTCTTTTAAGGCTTTCATTCTGAGAGGGGTCAGTAGCCTTTGAGAATTGAGCCACTTTGTTGACAAATCATTCCTGTAAATTGAACAGCATTAATTAGAAGTTTATGCTACAGATTCTTACTTTTTAATGTGGGTGGTGGTATCAATGAAAATGTCTAATGAATTTGAAGATGATTTTAAAAGGTCTGCCACCTGTAGATAAAAATGTGCATTACTCCACATGGTAATTATCAAGACTGAGGGCCTTGACATGATCCACTGACCTTTTGAAATCAAAACACTTACTGTAAAGAAAAAAAGGCACTGATTCCTCCATCTATGTTAATGTAGGAGGTCTTTATATTCAGCTGTATTGATACACTGTAATATATATAGGGGAAAAAAAAAGATACTTTCAATTATGTTCGACCCAAGTTTTCCATCGTTTCCTCTACAGACTTACAAAGCTCTCACTATTTTTGCATGTGTTGAGGGATATTTTTTTTTTAATGTAATGAAGTAGATTACTAAAAATATTCAGGTGTCTGAGACAGCAGCAAAACATCTCTGAGCCACCCTACAAAAATAAACTAGATTTGTGCGTGCAGGATGAAAAAGAAAGTATACAGGAACAGATTTCCGCTCCAGGCTTTTTTTCAGGGGCACTTGCAATAAGGGAGGGGAGCAATAACCCAGCAACTATCATTGTAAAAATTATGAAAAGCACTTTGATGGTCCTTTTTAAAGTCAGTTCACTAAACAGGGGCCAAATCAAAAGCCTGAAAGGCAACTTGTAGTTTGCTATCAACAACCCCAGCCCCTTGCTGCTGTTTGCAGTTGAGAACGAGTGCTTCTGCATGCAGTAATGGTGAGGAAAACTAAAGGGAAATAAAGGATGCGAATGAAGGATTTTCTGTTTTCATATGAGTACTTGGAACACCAAGCAAGCGAAGAAGCAGCAATTTTAGCTAAGCTAATGTAATAGAAGACCATTGCACCCAAACTGTCTCAGCAGAACTTCCTGCATAATTAGATTGTAAATCTTCTCAACTGAGGAAGTTTTGCCCAGGGTCAGATTGTCTAAGTAATAATCCATTCTACATAAATTAGAAGATTTGAACTGCTGGGATACATTATTACATTAGTTTTGTTTTTTATTCCCAATATAACTAAGGAGAACAAATGCAACAATTCTTTTTCTGTTCTCCTTTTTAATTATGGTACGTCTCTTTAGTTTTTGATTACCTCAGAAGGCCTTTCCTGTAGGTTTTGAGATTTTTCCCAAGCAATGATGATGAAGTTGTCATGCAGGCAAATTAATACATTTTTAATGTACTTCAGAAAGCGATACCACAGAATCCTTTGGCCACTGGATTCTGTGATATCACTTCCTCAGTGAAGCATTTAGCCAGAGATGCTGCTCCTCTGTTTGTGCAGCTAAAGTTTTATCTCCACCTCTGATCCCCTTCTGCAAAGAATAGAATTACCATCTTCTAGGTAAGAATTAGTAGGTGAAAGTTTACTAACAACTCATTTACAACAAGCAAGCTTCTAAGTTACTAACCAGCTCCATTGTTTTCTTTGAGAAAAGGAAGATTATGGGTTCTTCACATGCATATACAGCTATATGTAAAACTGATGGGGGAAGTCCTGGAGTTCTTATTCAGGCAAAAATTGCCACTGAAATTTTGGTATTTGATATGCTTGAAGGAAGCCAAGTTTGCAGTGTAGCACAGATTAATTTATATGAACTTGTCAGTGTTTGTTTGGCAGGTTTGGGTTTTTTTTGGTGTGGAGTTTGGTTTGGTTTTTTTTGACTTTCACTGTGAATTGGAGAAGAAGTCAACTGTTCAGGAGAACCTTTTGGAAATAAAACAGCCTTTGGGCTGGACTCTTAGGCTGTCTGTGTAGACTTCACCAGTACTGAACAACAGAGAGAGGAGATGAGGAAGGGCTTGTGGAAGTGCTCACAGTGCTGTAGGATCCCAGTTCCTGGGGCTACTTTGGATGTGCACCAACCCCATGGTCTCCATTGGATGCATGTTAGAGATCTAGACCTGCACAGTGGTAGTGACTGGTGGCAGGACTGCAAAGCCATTTTGATCTAGCTCTGTGTTGTATATATAAGTGTTGAGGGAAATGTAATAGGAGGAAAGGGCTGGCTTCTGTCATTAATGATGTTTTTAAATATCTGTCTCTTCTTGCTGAAAATTCATATGTTACATAATGGTAATTTTTTTTTTTTTTTTTTTGGAAAGACAAGAAGGAAGTGGGTTGGACGTATTAAATTCCTCATTTCCCATCTAATTTCTGTGTTGAAGGGTAGGAAAAAAAATAAAATATGGAATAGATAATTCTGTGTTTTCAAATACAGGAGTATTTTGATTACCTGGTGCTGGTTCTGTTATCTCAGTTGCCTGGTGAGTTTGTGGTCAGCCTGCTCTGCAGAGCACTGGCAGCTGAAGGTGAAGCATAGGTTTTGATGGAAATGGCAAGTACTCTCTAAAGTCCTGGAAATGGGGGTACTCCCTTACTGAGGGATGTCTGGTCACCCTTCCCTCAACTGCTGCACAAGGAACACACTTCAATACACTTTATTTTCCTCTACTGTTGTGAGACACCAATGGATGTGGAAAAAAAAAGAGATAATACTTTAGAAGATGTCAAGGAGAAAATGAAGATCTGTGAAAGCCCTTAGAAACTGGCATTCTGGGGAAACACCAAATTCTTCAGATGCTCTTAAAAACATACAAGAGCACTGGGAGTCCATCGATAAAACATTATTTTTTGCTTCTACTTAAAATCCAAACTTGCTCTCATTTCTGCCATTATAATCCTTATAAAATACTTTTTCATAACTAAAATTTTCACCATTATTATTAATATTTAACAGCAAGTAACTGTGTTTTTTTGGGGGGGTGGTTGTTGTTTGTTTGTTTTTTGTTTTGTTCTTTTGTTTTTTTTTTTCCTCAGGAGCATCAGATATAAAGAAAATTAGAAATCAGACCTCAAGACTACTTTTGAGGCAGAAATAATCCAACCATTATTTCTGGTGTAAAAGGTTTGTGAATAGCATCATTTGCCTAGAAGCTGTTTTCCAACCTAATAACTCCTGGAATAATGACCTAAAACTGTTTCCAAGAGGATTAAGGCCCATATAACTATTAAGAAGTATAAGTTTCTGAAAAAGCTTCTTTCTGATTGGTAGGGAGGTGAGTTCTGATTTAGGTTAAAGCTGCTTGCTTAGGAGAATCAGTTTCAATCTCTCTGAAGTCAAAATGTTGAAGTAATCCTCTGGAGAAGGATTGTCTGAGGGTTTTTTTTTTCCTTTCTTTCTATATATGTGTATATATATTGTGTATGTGTAGATATTACTTATTGCCATAATGATCTGGAAGATGGTAATTTAACTGGGTTTTCAATCCATTTGGGGAGGGGGGGGGTTAATCTTCTGCTTTAGTGTGCCTTGGGCAGAATCTGTTCAAAATGGGCTGAGATTGCAGCTGAACACTTGGCTTGTTGGTTAATCATCACTTGAAAACTCTTCATTGGAGAGACT